ACAAAGGATCACCGCTTCCTTGGATCTCTAACATGATTTTTTTTTAAACTTTACCCCCACACTATGATTTTCTCCTGTGTCGTGGAGGCAGTTTAAAAACATAAATTACACAAGGACAAACATCCAGACCAGGAACCATTATTTGTAGGCCATACAATTACTTGTTCCGTGCGGGATTCGAACCAACGGCCCAAGCCCTGCAACTCATTGCTAAGCCACTGGCGCCACGGAGCCGCCAAACATGTTTCGATGAATCTGATAAATATTTAAAACAAATTTTATACCGACCAAATACCTATCCTACTTAAATATTTTGCCTGTTTACACGAGTAGAAGGACGAAGTGAAACATGTTTACCGCAAAAAGATGAGGATTGTACAGCTATGTCCTAGATGGTTGGTAGCCCTGAAGATTTTTATTTTAGTGTTTAGATTTAACAACGCATCAGTAGCATTATTTGTTTGAAGTTTTTACCAGGTTTCCATGGCCTACAGTTTTATTGAATAATTTAAAATTAAAAATTTTGTACAACCGACTTCAATATAAGTTATTAAGAATAACTCAAAAACTATTGATCAGACCTTTATCGAATGTATATGGGCCCACATGAACTCCAACACGCGTTTGGCATTGAATTGGGGCAGCGCGGCGGACATTTCCTTGCCCTAAAACCCTGATAGAAATGAGGGTAGGCCTGTGCCCAGCTTTTAACCTAACACGAGAAGCACTAGCTAATTTTGTTATTTAATAAAACTAAAGAAAACCTTGTTTTTTATTCGTTCCTTATATTTTTTTTGTTTAATCAATAATCACCACGACGATGTTACGACTTGAATTACCCCCGGCTATTATGTATCCCATGCATGCTAAAACTAACGGTGTAAGAAAACCCACTATCCCATATCGTGCCGTGGGTGACGTATGATGCGACAGAGTGAAACTGAAACAGGAGATGGACAGTAGCATTAACTGTGGAAAATTGAATCAATGTATGGGGAGGTTTAAGTTTATTAGTGGACTTTTAGAGGCTCGCCGCCTCGCACCGTAAGTGTAGATACGCCTGCTATACATTTTGTATGTAACTGCAATGACGTCGACGAGGTTGGACGGAGCGCGAAGGAATCCGTCTGCGGATCGTTCAGTATCTATTATTTATTATCGTAAGTGTAGATACGCCTGCTATACATTTTGTATGTAACTACAACGACGTCGACGAGGTTGGACGGAGCGCGAAGGAATCCGTCTGCGGATCGCTCAGTATCTATTATTTATTATCGTAAGTGTAGATACGCCTGCTATACATTTTGTATGTAACTACAACGACGTCGACGAGGTTGGACGGAGCGCGAAGGAATCCGTCTGCGGATCGCTCAGTATCTATTATTTATTATCGTAAGTGTAGATACGCCTGCTATACATTTTGTATGTAACTGCAACGACGTCGACGAGGTTGGACGGAGCGCGAAGGAATCCGTCTGCGGATCGCTCAGTATCTATTATTTATTATCGTAAGTGTAGATACGCCTGCTATACATTTTGTATGTAACTGCAACGACGTCGACGAGGTTGGACGGAGCGCGAAGGAATCCGTCTGCGGATCGCTCAGTATCTATTATTTATTATCGTAAGTGTAGATACGCCTGCTATACATTTTGTATGTAACAGCAACGACGTCGACGAGGTTGGACGGAGCGCGAAGGAATCCGTCTGCGGATCGCTCAGTATCTATTATTTATTATCGTAAGTGTAGATACGCCTGCTATACATTTTGTATGTAACTGCAACGACGTCGACGAGGTTGGACGGAGCGCGAAGGAATCCGTCTGCGGATCGCTCAGTATCTATTATTTATTATCGTAAGTGTAGATACGCCTGCTATACATTTTGTATGTAACAGCAACGACGTCGACGAGGTTGGACGGAGCGCGAAGGAATCCGTCTGCGGATCGCTCAGTATCTATTATTTATTATCGTAAGTGTAGATACGCCTGCTATACATTTTGTATGTAACTACAACGACGTCGACGAGGTTGGACGGAGCGCGAAGGAATCCGTCTGCGGATCGCTCAGTATCTATTATTTATTATCGTAAGTGTAGATACGCCTGCTATACATTTTGTATGTAACAGCAACGACGTCGACGAGGTTGGACGGAGCGCGAAGGAATCCGTCTGCGGATCGCTCAGTATCTATTATTTATTATCGTAAGTGTAGATACGCCTGCTATACATTTTGTATGTAACTACAACGACGTCGACGAGGTTGGACGGAGCGCGAAGGAATCCGTCTGCGGATCGCTCAGTATCTATTATTTATTATCGTAAGTGTAGATACGCCTGCTATACATTTTGTATGTAACTACAACGACGTCGACGAGGTTGGACGGAGCGCGAAGGAATCCGTCTGCGGATCGCTCAGTATCTATTATTTATTATCGTAAGTGTAGATACGCCTGCTATACATTTTGTATGTAACTACAACGACGTCGACGAGGTTGGACGGAGCGCGAAGGAATCCGTCTGCGGATCGCTCAGTATCTATTATTTATTATCGTAAGTGTAGATACGCCTGCTATACATTTTGTATGTAACTGCAACGACGTCGACGAGGTTGGACGGAGCGCGAAGGAATCCGTCTGCGGATCGCTCAGTATCTATTATTTATTATCGTAAGTGTAGATACGCCTGCCATACATTTTGTATGTAACTGCAACGACGTCGACGAGGTTGGACGGAGCGCGAAGGAATCCGTCTGCGGATCGCTCAGTATCTATTATTTATTATCGTAAGTGTAGATACGCCTGCTATACATTTTGTATGTAACTGCAACGACGTCGACGAGGTTGGACGGAGCGCGAAGGAATCCGTCTGTGGATGGCTCAGTGTCTATTTTTCGTCAATACGACGTGACCTTAGCCGCCACATCGGGTGTAAGGAAAATTCGATCAACGCGCAGACAAATTTAACAATATCATGGAAATTAATTTGATTATGTAGATCTTTATGTAAAATGGTATGTAATTAATCAAATATTATATTGTTGGTACAATCTTAATATTTTCGACATTTATCATTTTCTATCTCATAACCAGGCGTTATTTTGTGGAAATCCATTAAATAAATATAATTTTATCGTCAGAGCTCTGCATTGATCACACCACATTCTCGGCTGTATGCTGAGCGAGGTCGCCTCTGAGACGACGTCACCAAGGCGTTAGTCACAATCCTAGAGGGGCAACACCATCATCCGCGATGATGAAAATGAGCCCCTGGTATTGCGAGCACTAGGAATGAGGGGCCCTATAGCCCAATAATTGATGAGTCTGAAGTGTTGTAGACACTTACACACAACGACAACACTACGAGAGTAAGTCCTGCCCCCGGGACATACTTTTCGTCAAGCAATAGGTATACGATAGGTGTCGGCATAATATTTCTGTTTCTCCGCAGCGAATGGCTGTCGGCAAAATCCGCTTTTGCGGCGCGGCATGCCTATAATGTACGCCTAGCCTTACAAAAGCAACCCCATATTATAAAGCTTATCTATAAAAGTTTTTCAATTAGATTTTTAAAACCTTATGTTATAACTTGAAAATAAAAAAAAATACACGGTCGCGAGAGAATAAAAACGAAATTATTATTTGCATGTCCTCACCAAATGTTGTATGTTAGAATATTATCATAAATTGTGGTGAAGTTGTAAAGCATAGTAAGGTAACTTACTTTTTAAGTAACGACAAACAAATATGCATTTTATCACTAAAGAAATTTTGTTGAATATTACTGTTTGAAAAAACTATGTCTATCAATCAATTTTATTGTAAAATTATACCTTCACTTTCCGAAAATATTGGGTTTGAATTAACACATCTACGTTAATTACAACTTTATATAATATACAAAAGAATACAGGTAAATAATAAAAAAATAAACAATCAAGAAAGTTTATTACCAAAATAAAAGTTGTCTGTAGGAAGAGTTTAACAAAAATAAAATTGAAGAGTTGATTTTTCACGGTTGTCTAGTGTATATATAAAAGCACGATTCATAAGTATAAACCTTTAACAAAACTATGAGCCTGTAAATGAAATCCAAGAACATAGAACTACTGGAAAACTTCATGTTATCTATCAATTAATAAAACGTGAATCTTATTTTATCAAATAATCCTACAGTATATATGTATGTACAATAAACACAAAAGAACATCGAAAAGCTTGAAACAATTAGGAGGATATCCGGGCGGCGGCGTTTAGTCCATACCTTTTTTTCTCCAGAATGAAATTGGAATAAATATTTTTTTTAGATATTATCTATATCTATAAGGAACATAAAAATAAATAAAAGAAAAACTAAAAGACATAGCTATTTCTTTTAATGTCCAAGAAGCTATGCAGGTCTAGATAGACCGGTATCACTGCGATCTGCAAGATCTATTGCAGGTAGCAGTGATATCGCTGCTGAGCCCTATGTCTCCAATGAATTGAAGGAGATGCTTATCTGTGGGAAATTTCACTTCTTGTGGGCTAAGTACATTAGTTTCCAAGATGATTGTTAGATTTGGGCATTAAACAGAGGTGTTATTTCCGTTAAGGAACAGAATTGACACATAGCCATTCCAATGCCGAATGTATCGAATACACCAATACTGATTTTTTTTTCTCTAAACGATACAACTACTAGTATTACTACATTAACTAGGATTACTACATTAATATTACGATCAGTCCGAGTCGCAGTTGTGGAAATCTATTCTTCAAATTTCTAGCAGCCCGGATGTCTTCTTAAGCACATGCAATAAATAACAGAATAGATAGCTACATATTCGAATATTAGACTAAAGACAGCAATCGTAGACAAAGTAAAAAAGAAAATCAAGGCTCTACATGCGTGAAATTGAAACTTAAGATTATACATTAATTGCTTAGTTTTACCCATCGTTTTACTTCGATTATAAGCTATTATAATGTAAAATATTGGATTCACTTCCTAGTTATAAACTTATGGCTGATAATGACGTCCTAAAAATTGTTGTGGCTCATGCAGTCTTCTTGTAGCTTGATAAACGTCGCGCTCTTTGTCGGGATATTTTGTTGGTAAATTTGGCGAATGAAGATTTACTTTAGCTGCGTACCTAAAAATAAAGTAGAAATTTCAGAGATTAGTTTTTTTAAGTAATATTTATGTTTATTTAGCTGTAGCAAACGGTAATTTATTTTAAATCAAACAAAAATATTAAAAAACAAATACCTTATTCCAGCAATGTCAATCTCATAGTGTCCACTGAGCACGTAGTCGTTCGTAACAGGCTGCGGCACTCCGTCATTGTCTAGATTTTGAACGAAGCCGAGGCATACCTGTCAAGAAAACTTCAAATTATTATAACGTACGATTCAGGCAGAGTTAATGTGCAATATACGTAATTAGTGATAGGCAATTTTAATTTTTTATCTATTGCTATTACTAACTTTCTCACACAACAAAAAGACAAAGCAAGGGTTTGATATGATGTCGTAATTTGAGAGCTGTTATGAACGAATGTAATTATTTTTTGGCCGGATGTCGTTCATATTTCTTCCTTTTTTAACAGAATTCTAGAAAACTCTTTTAGCTGTGCTTACGCAGGCTATCACGACAGTACTAAGCTAAACTACATTACTTTTACTATGAATATGCTGCAAACTTTAATACTTTTTCATCCATTTTATTTCCTTTCTGCGAATTCCCAGCGATTCTTCGGGGTGGATTAGGGTAGTTTAACCATTAATGTATTGCAATATGTCGGCTAGATATTGTGGTGATGTTGTATAAATTATACGTATCTTGATTGAAAAATTGCGAGAAGTTTCTTGTTGATTTTATGCAGACCTGCCTAACCGTAAAATATAATAATAATTTACCTGCTTCTTAAAGGTATATCCATAGCTAGTTGTAGTGGTTTGTCCACAATAATTGCCATCACGGTAAATAGGCTCGCCGCCCCAAGACCACAAGTCCAACTCGTGATCGTGATCTGTCAGTAGTAGTTGCACGTACTGACGTCGTATGCCCTCTTTGCGCTGCTGTAGTAAAGCGTCTCGCCCGATGAATGGGATATCTTTCTAGGATTACAAATATTATGGCTTTGTTAGATTATCTTCTAGGCAATGCAAAAAGTGTGTTTATCAGCTAAAAATGTCATTTGAAAACCTTTTAACCGACTTAAAAAAGTAGGAGGTTCTCAATTCGAGTGTATGTTTTTTTGTGTGTAAGTTACGCGATATCTTCGCAGATTGTGAACCTTTTTCGATGATTTTTTTTATTAAATAGGTTATACTTATAAATTTGGAGAAAAAATTTCACCCCAAATAAATCACTTATTTTTAAGCAATTTTGAAGTCGGTTTTTACTTTTTGTTAAAAGTTATATTTTAATATGGCTTCAGATATACGAAGGTGGCTAATATAGTTATATGTAGATGATTAAAACCACAACGCACAGTTCATACATCTCTAACGAAAGACTGTAAAAACCATCCAAGATCATGCACACAAAAACTTATTTTACTTTTATTATATTTTTACTTTCATTATACAACTGCAGTACGTCACTACACCACAATAACAGTACACAATGATTTTAAATTAACACAACTTAGGTAATATGAAAGATAAAACATTTCAAAAGAATGAGGCACTTATGAGTACTAACACAATAAAGATAAATTATCTTTCAACGCGTGACTTCAACGTGTACTTTCCCTAGAGACCTGAGGGTTTTATGTGCGTAATTAAGGAACCTTATAGACAAGTTATTATCAAAAGCACATAATTAAAATCAAATAAAAACCTTCATACCAACACATGTAGACGCCACTGTAATGCTCCGCTCTAGTATACTACTTATGAATATAAACCACAACAATAATTCTCGAAAACACCACGCACAAAATTCATTTGTACTTGATATGACACTAATAGGCAAAATAAACAAATGTGCCCTATACCTTGTTATATCACAAATAATAATAATAATGTCCTCCAGACCGAATTTCGGTCACGGCGGTCAGTCTCAACGGAGGCTAGCCATCTGCGCAGGACAAGATTATAGTGCCCAAGTGTGTGCGCAAGCACAGGTGCATTCTCTATTCCCTCATTCTAAACCGACACGACCGGAGAGAGATCAGGCGCATGACCAACGGCTTAACGTGCTTTCCGAGGCACGGGGGTGAGACACCAACACACAACACCAACTTCCTGACTCCGGGCAGCTACTGAGAATTTCTTGATGGAAAAACTCAATAACTGATATTTTTTTGGGCCGATCCGGGATTCGAACCCGGGACCTCATGATCAGCAGTCGCACTACTACAACCACTAGACCACAAGGCAGTCACAAAATAGAGGTATCGTATAACATGAAGCGGAGATGAAACATTTTTTTCGCGATCTGCTTTTTACAAGAAATAAAGTCAAAAATACAAAATACATCTATTAAAGCCCCTTAATTTATCACCCAATAAACTGTTACAGAAATCTGTAATCCTAAACAGTTGTACAATTGTTACCAAGTATCTGCGAGTACACTCTCATACTAAAGTAAATAACAACCTAACACCACACAAGTAACTGATGGTAACAAAAACCTAAGTATCTAGGATATGACCAAATCTAGCACTAACATGAATTTAACTATGATCGAAACGAAAGATTACCTAGAAGAACTTTATGTCCATGATTGTAAATAAATACATGTATTGATAGTCCAAAAACGAAGAAACACATGGTTTTGAAAGGAATAAAATGTCCTAAAATTAAAAAAAAAATATAATAAATACCCAAAACTATGTACATTCTTTTCCGTTTTACAATGCAATATCTATTATAGCAGTGGATCAAGTTCTCGTCATTAATGTACACCTAATTTACAAAATTAAAATCTTATATTTTACTTTTACTATTATCCCGCGCAGTGCTGCCGCAGAAGAAATAATTGTGGAAATATCGTTTTAAATTTGAAAGAGTTGTATTATTTAATTAGGAGTTATAATAGAATCATTGAAATTGAATGAGCTATAACTCTCAACTATATTGACGTTACGATACGTACGCCATCTACTGTAAGTTAATTCTACTATGGCTATATAACCTTCGTGCAAGTGCCATCAATAAGTTGACAAAGTTTTACCACAACCTGATGGACGGTATGGGGGCTCATAAAACGAACAAATAAATATTATTTTTTATATATTAGAACTGCATACACGTACTCAACTTCTCTGAAAAGGTAGGAGGATTGTAGCCGTTTATAGTAGGTTATTCAGATAATTAACAACTCACGAAATAATGTAATTTAATTTTAAACAAAACCATATCGACGGTTCCGTGGCGCAGTGGTTTAGCAATGAGTTGCTGCGCTGGGGGCCGCGGGATCGAACCCCGCACGGAACAAGTATTTGTATGGCCTACAAATAATTGTTCCGGGTCTGGATGTTTCTCCTTGTGTAATTTGTGTTTGTAAACTGCGTAACGTTTTTAAGAATAAAAAAAATAAAAAATATATTAAACTTTATTGACTTACATCAAACTTGACTCGCCATGTGCGGCCACATTCGAGTGGTGTTGTCATAGTGTCAAGATCCTGACCCCAAAATGCAAAGAATTTCTCTACTCGCAACGAACGTGAAGCGTAATAGCCCACGTGACTTATGCCATACTTTTCTCCCACAGTCATCAGTCTGTTATATACGTGTAGCGCAAACTGAAAACGGTTGATTAAATTTATTTTACAATACAATACAAACAAAATTAATTAATCCATTTGTTTTTACTAGAAACTGTTTAAATTCTTTTAATCAGTCACTACACGGCAGAAGCAGCAGCATCTTCTTAATAACAACTCAAAATAATGATAAACTGCCTTTAACTATGGCAAAATGTATGAGGCAATGTCTATGTTCAGACGTGGACCTTTGACATGCTGTGTACATATAATCAACTAAAATAATTAACTAGTATGTAGTATGCAGTCTTACCTCGTTTGGAATATAAAGCACATAACCCAACTCTCCAGTATGTGTTAAATTCATTGCCCTAATTCCATTTGCAAGTCCCACGTCTAATTCCTTGAATGTAAAGAATGGGAAGTTGGAAGGAGAAAGATCGGTGTCTGTCAGTTCTGAGAGTAAGTTCCTTGTGAAGGGCCCCATAACGCAGATAGCCGTGTACATGGACGTAACATCAGATAGGGTAACAGAGCCATTGTGCGGTAAGTGACGTTTGAGCCACACCTTGCATCTTGTCTGTTGGATTGTTGGTGCGATCATCATGTAACTAAAAAGTAAAATATTGATTAAGACATAAAATCGACGACAACAGATGAACTACTTACATTACTTTAAAAGCTATAGTAAAGTTACAAAACTTTAGGTCTCAGTTTTGTCGTTTAGTAATATTATACGAGAATATTTTATACGATTATATTGTCCCGTGTAGGTAATTCAATTGCTGGATCCAGCAGTACTCTAGGTGACAGGCGTGAGTGTTTGTGGTTTTTTTTTGTGTGTGTAACTTTGTTTGATATTATAGAGTTTATAGATTACGTTATTTACAAGCACAATGCTTAATATAACTAAATATTTACAGTTAATTGCCTTGATCTTAGGTGTTTAACAAAACTAAGATACCTTAACGAGTAAAATTTATCTTATTAATAAAAGTTTCTAAGGAATTTAAAAAAGTTTAATTTCTTAAATTTTTCTAACACGCGGGATCTGTGCTAGATCCAGCTAGATTGATGGTAGTCTATCAAAAATCCAGCTGGATTGCAATCCCTAAACCCGTGTTCTTACACCCTTGGGCAATGGGTAATCCAGAAAGAACTTGGGGTCTCCAATAGCTAACGACTTCGAATGTAAAATACCCAGTATATACCAAATAGTATAGATAAACCACTTAATATCTTTATCTCGCTATGTAAATGTTTTAGTTTAAGCTATTGTGGGCTGAAATATAAAATAGGTTTTTATTTATAATATTTAATTTATTTATTATATATAATTAAATTAAATTATAATGCAATAATATAAAAAAGAAACAATGAACTATGCCAGAATCGTTTTTATTAATAATAATAATATAAAAATATTATTCTTCGTCGCTACTATCATTCTCACTTGAATTATTTTCACTTGAGTGCAGCACACACTGCCGTGTAGTGGCGGTCAAGAATATCCACTACCCCATATCCTCCCGTGGGTGTCGTAAAAGGCGACAAAGGGAAACAGCCAGGAGATGGGCAGCAGCATCTTCCTGATAATAGCCAAATGACAATAAAAAAACTGCGGTTGCCAACCCGCTCGCCAAGCGTGGCAACTATGGCAAATACCCCCCAATGATGAGAGCAACAAAAAAACGGCCCCCAGTCCCCGGCGGCCCCGCTATTCCTGGCTACGGTGGCGACCATGGTAACGGCGGGGCAGGGGGTGCTAAGAATCTCCGGTGGAGGTTCGGTTGCCACCTTAGACGACTCGACCTGGCAACGTACAACGCACGCACCCTGAGGACTGACGAGAAGATCGTGGAGCTGGAAGAAGAGATAGACAAGTTGCGCTGGCATATTATAGGATTATCTGAAGTCCGAAGAGAGGGGGAGGACACGGTAATCCTCGAATCCGGCAACTTGCTCTATCACCGGGAGGGCGACCATCTGTCCCAAGGAGGTGTCGGATTTATCGTCCACAAGTCTCTCGTTAACAACGTTGTAAAAATCGGGAGTGTGTCGACGAGGGTTGCGTACCTTATACTCAGAATCACCAAACGGTATTCGCTGAAGGTCATACAGGTTTACGCACCAACCTCGGCACACCCCGATGAGGAGGTGGAGGAAATGTATGAGGATATCTCTAGAGCCATGCATTCCTCCAAAACCCAATATACGGTGTTAATGGGAGACTTCAATGCAAAACTAGGCACAAGAGAGAACGGTGAGCTGAAAGTAGGGAAATTTGGAATAGGGCAACGGAACCCAAGGGGCCAGCAGCTGGCCGACTTCATGGAGAAAGAGGGACTCTTTATGATGAACTCTTTCTTCCAGAAGCGGCCCCACAGGAAGTGGACCTGGTCGAGCCCCGACGGTTCCACAAAAAATGAGATTGACTTCATTATGACGACCAGACGACAACTGTTCAGTGATGTCTCCGTGATCGCGAGGGTGAAAACTGGTAGCGATCACCGAATGGTTAGAGGCACACTGAACCTAAACGTTAAGTTGGAGAGGTCTCGTCTAATGAAGTCAACGCTCCGTCCCCCTCGTGCTCTGTTTCAAAGTCCCGAAACCTTTCAGCTCGAGTTACAAAACCGTTTTCAGTGCCTAGAAGACTGCAATGAAGTGGACGATATGAATGACAAGCTCGTGGAAACTGTCCATGCGGTTGGAGCTAAGTTCTGCAAGACCCGCCGCAGAAGAACACAAAAACTCTCCGATCACACTCTTAATCTCATGGCTGTTAGACGGGAGATGAAGCTACATTCTTCAACAGACTTGACAGCATACAGGCATCTGAACAGACAGATCTCCAAATGCATGCGGCGGGACTTACGCAACTTCAATACAGCTCGTATTGAAGAAGCGATCGAGCGGAACCAAGGCTCCAAAGTCTTTGCCAGAGATCTGTCTGCCAGAAAGAGCCAACTGTCAAAGCTGAAGACAGAATGTGGCAGCATCGTTTCCGGGACACCTGAGATTTTGAGTGAGATTGAGAGGTTCTATGGGCAGCTGTACACATCATCGTTGGAGCCACACGCAAGTGTGAGTAACGATCCAAGAGCGAGTCTCATCCGACACTATTCCGAAGATATCCCGGATGTCAGTCTGAGCGAGATTAGGATGGCTCTCCAGCACCTTAAAAACGGTAAGGCCCCAGGCGAGGATGGAATTACAGCGGAGCTTCTGAAAGCGGGTGGAAGGCCGGTACTTGAAGTCCTTCAGAAGCTCTTTAATTCCGTCCTCCATGGTGGCATTACACCGGAGGCGTGGAGCAGAAGTGCGGTGGTCTTGTTCTTCAAGAAAGGTGACAACGCTCTCTTGAAGAACTACAGACCGATTTCCCTTCTGAACCGCGTCTACGTGCTGTTTTCGAGAGTTATTACGAATCGTCTCGCGCGCAGACTTGACGACTTCCAGCCTCCCGAGCAAGCCGGTTTCCGAAAGGGCTTTAGCACCATAGACCACATACATATCCTTCGGCAAGTTGTACAGAAGTCCGAAGAGTACAATTTGCCACTATGTCTGGCGTATGTGGACTATGAGAAAGCCTTTGATTCCGTCGAAATTTGGGCGGTGCTGCAGTCCCTTCAGCGGTGCCAAGTTGACTGTCGGTATATCGAAGTGTTGAAGTGCTTGTACAGTAGGGCTACGATGGCTATCCGAGTACAGAACCAGAGTACGAAACCTATCCAATTGCAGAGAGGTGTAAGACAGGGTGACGTCATATCCCCGAAACTCTTCACCGCTGCATTGGAAGACGTTTTCAAGCTTCTGGACTGGAAAGGATACGGTATCAACATCAATGGCGAGTACATCACTCACCTTCGATTTGCCGACGATATAGTCCTTATGGCAGAATCGCTGGAGGACCTAAGCACTATGCTCAATGACCTCAATAGTGTTTCCCAACGGATAGGTCTTAAGATGAACATGGACAAAACTAAGATCATGTTTAATGTCCATGTCACACCTATGCCGATAGTTGTTGGGAACACTAAGCTCGAAGTTGTTGACGAGTATGTTTACCTGGGACAAATAGTCCGACTGGGTAAGTCCAACTTCGACCGAGAGGTCAATCGACGGATTCAACTCGGCTGGGCAGCGTTCGGGAAGCTACGACACATCTTCTCGTCAGACATACCTCAAAACCTTAAAACGAAATTGTACAACCAGTGCGTGTTGCCAGTGATGACTTACGGAACTGAGACGTGGTCCTTCACTGCTGGCCGTATGAGGAAGCTCAAGGTCGCTCAGCGAGCTATGGAGAGGGCTATGCTCGGAGTTTCTCTGCGTGATAAACTTAGGAATGAGGATATCCGCAGTAGAACCAGAGTGACCGACATAGCCCAACGGATTAGTAAGCTGAAGTGGCAGTGGGCCGGCCATATAGCTCGAAGAACCGACAACCGATGGGGAAGAAAGGTTCTCGAGTGGCAGCCTCGTACCGGTAGGCGAAGTGTAGGGCGTCCCCCCACGAGATGGAGTGACGACCTGGTAAGACATGCAGGAAGTCGATGGATGCAGGTGGCTCAGGACCGTGTTTTGTGGCATTCTTTGGGGGAGGCCTATGTTCAGCAGTGGACTTGTGAAGGGCTGTAATGATGATGAATGATGAGTGCAGCTTGATGAGTCAGAATCGTCTTGTAAATTAATTATCATTTTATCTATATTGTTCCTTTTCAATTTTCTGGACATGGCTATCACAGCTTCCCCATTTTTATACAGAGATTTCGGCGAATAATTGCTCCACTCCAATTGTTTGTTATCCAAATTGCTATCAAGTTCATTTCTTGCTTGCGAATTGTCCCTTGATATCTCCCCATACCAACTCAATCGGGTTCAGGTGCGGGCGGTATGGTGGAAGTCGTAAGACTTCGTGATCCCGCAGCCTTTAACACTTCTTTAATTTTATACACAATATCAGATTTGTGTTGCTTGATCAACGTAAGTCACATTTCCTTAAGGAAATATTAAAGTCCACGTTATGTCTTTGCAGTCAGGCTTGCATGTCGGCTTTTGTAGACGCCATCGTGGGCTTTCTATCCACTTGTACAGAATGATAAGCAGCGTTATCCATGACAATCACGGAATGTGGAGGTAAATTTGGCAATAATTTTTCTTTTGTCCATTTATAAAAATTTTGTAAATTCATATCTTTATGATAATCTCCGGATTTACTTTTTGATTTGAAAATTAAATGGGCTCTATTGATAAATCCACCACGGCCTCTAGCATGGACAATAATTAAACGTGGCCTTTTGCCAGTATGTGACAGCACTCCTCTTTCTTCTGTAGACTGCCAACACGATGAGACGTTTAAAGAGGAATTGACGTATGTTTCATCGATGTAAACAATGTTCTTCTGATCTATCCGATGCTTCTTAATATATACTATGTTTAGTTGTTCAATAAGTAGCTTTCTTTTTGACTGATATTTCTTAAATCTAAAGCTAAGTTTGTGCAACAATATTGTCAAATATTCTTGACTGCAATTAATTATTGCATCTTCTTTAAGATCAGCATTGAAAGTTTTTAATGTAGGAAAATTCTTGAAAATAGTTATAAAATATGAGTTACGTTTCCTCTTATTAGGCCTTCTGTAAAATTATCTATTTAAATTTTTTTTCTTTCGCATTTGTTTCTTTTTTGTTGGCTATTTAAAACCCGCGCTATTCTGTTCACGTTTCAGATCGTTGCCTTCTTTAATAATTTTACTTACAGTAACATGGAGTCCTGTTGCTTGTGCAATAATTTTGTTCAAGTTTACGTCTTGTAGATACTGCGTAGAATTTCGATCGTATTTATTAGCTCAAACGTTGTACTCCATTTGTTTCGCTTGCCTGCTAATTTTCTTACCAAAAATGTGAGGGCGATTCATCATGGCATTGATTGTGGCACTTTAATCTCGTGTGCATTTTGTTCCAAGCGTCCGTGACAGATATAATCAAGTGTTCACTGCGAGATACGCGAGTGAACTCTCAAACATGAAAAATGTTCCCTGCCACCCGCTCCCGCCTGACTGCCCTGTAACGCCAATACGTCACTCCCTCCCGCAAAGTTCTTACCCCGCGGGCGATCCGCCAATTAAGTGGTTTATCTATAGTAACGAGAAGCAAAGAGAAATGCGAAACATCTGATACTTGATCAACAAAACCACCTACCAAATTCGCCCTACTCTGGGAGAGCATTATATCTTTCTTTGTTTAGTAATGGACTTGTACGGTTCCACTTTAACAGTGCCACTACCACAGTTTTAAGACCTAACAGTTGTTAAACGCCTTTCATGTCAGGCGATGCCGCCGTCCGCGTAGATATTTACGCGGGCGGCATGTATGCTACGGGTTGTCACGAAGATGAGAATAATAAAATTTTGGATATTATAACACTCCTTATCACTTATTAACATTATGTACATATTTATGAGTTAAACACATTTATTGAACAAGATCCTTTTTTATTACTACAAGAAAAAATACATGTTCAAGTGTTGCACTGCCAAATATTTTCGTGATAATTTCTTTTTATAGATATGTTCAGTGTTCGATTGTTATGTAGTGTGTATTATTGTGTATTCGCATTCGGATAAATAATTTTATGAAAAAATGAGGAAAACATAAGCATGGCCGGCATTTGAATTCAAATTTACTATAACAGTAATTTTTACTTTAATTTTTTGAGAAAGGCACTTAAAATTATTTAATTAAGTACTATAAAACACGCTCTCGTCAACCGCATATATTGTCCAGCAGACTTAGTGTAATGCGCTGGCACAAGGCCGCGACTCCCCCTACCCCGCAAGGCCCACGCCGGTGCTCGGCACAAGTACATTCGTTTCCCAGCTGTTAGACTGTCTTTAAACTGTGGTACTACGAAATTATTCTTTATAATAATTTATTTTAAAACTTCTTAACAATATGTCGATGCGTCACACTGCGAAGTTTTTGGAAGATTTTGACAGCAGCGTGACCCAGCAGACAGTCGAAGACGACAGTATATCAATGCGCCCGAACAAACATAACTACTTGAAATTCACATCAGAATCGAAGCACTTATTTCATCGTTTCAACTTATAGTTCACATGCGCAGACACTTAATACACAAAATTGTGGGTGTCTTGAAGGCAAGAGTGAATGTGTTTTTGTTACGTTAAGACAGTGCGATTTATCATCTAGGGCTACATCACTACTTACCAACATGTGGGATGGTGGAATTATAATAAGTTAAAAACAACCATCGCACCACAAAAAATGCACTCAAACTATTATTTAAACAATAGGTACAGGAGCAGCAATCTGGCGGCGTAAGTTTCCGCCATAACCCCAGAGAGTTATTTCTAGTAGTGGGTTATTACTATTATTATTATACCTGATAGCGAAAAATTAAAAAATTAAAAATCTCTAGAACGTTTTAGGGTAATGTCGTATTGTACAAAATGTCAGCGATTTATAAAGTGGAACTACATTTCTATTATGTAGTTTTATATTTATTATAATATTATCACAATTAACATTACTTTTCGGACAGTGCATTACCATTTCAATAATAATTTATCTTTAAACATTATAATTCAGTGCTTGACTGCAAAGTGCGATGCAGCCGAAGATGGTAAGTGCACTGATTTAGTTTAGCAAAAGCGTATTCACCCTTACCCTGGAGAGATGATAAAGCGCACTTAAGCTTTTGTTGAGCTACGACAGTGCGCTTATTAAAAACCATTCACCCTTAACTTAAAGCTCACACATATTGATATCGAAAGGTTAGACAGAAAAATATTCCACTCTCTTGCTGTACCCATTACAAACGACAAAGCAAACCATATCGTTGACAACAAAGGGATGGAGTACAGCCCAGCGTCTAGTTTTCCGACGGTGGAAGGGAGGCAGGATGCAATTCCTGTGCACTCTCCGAAATGAATTCTGTAGAACACCGAAATGCTACTTTGCGCCCGTAGTGAAGAATGGTAAGATTGGCTTTGACCAGATTCTGGGCGCGTATATGCCTCTTAGCACGCTTTTCCACTAAGTCCAAAGCTGCTAGGGGGCTTTAGCAGTAACAGCTCTTTTATGGCAACAATACTCCATGCAGGACTCTATATACATGCGCTGTATATAGAGTAATCAGGTTTCCTGGCGTAAAGTACCGCCGCGCCTTTGTAAATATTATACTGTTTATAGGATATGATTACATATCGTTTACGGGAAGTTAGAATTTAAAATTAAGCAAATTTATACGTACTGGTTTTCGCTTATCCTTGCTAAGCTGCAATCGTTTTCGTAACCACCGCGTTCATTCTGCATGCCCGTGTGTATAATGCTGCCAATCGGAACGTCCACGTTATTTGAACACAAATACTGAAGTAAGTCTACCACTTCGCGTCCTTGCGACTGCAATAAAACGAATTACTCTTTACTGAAGTTAATGCAGAGGGAAATTATTACTAATTGAGTTAATCTACTTTATTTTTATTTATATACTAGCGATATGCCCCGGCTTCGCATGGGTGATATCTGGATTCTACAATAGCGCCTATATTCAACTATGCCTATAACCATCGCGTAAGTGTAAGCAATAAGTTGAAAAAGTTTTAGCGCAATCTGATGAACGCTATGGCAGCGCATATAATACGAACTAACAAATATTTTTTTTAATTTTCTATATATATATATATGAGTGTGCGTGTGGATATGAATGTATATGGTAGCTTCTATGCGGCAGAATATACTAGTAATTAGATTGTACACGGTACACCCTAGTGAGGTCCTTTTTTTGAGTTTTTTGAAGAGATATTCACACCACGATATCACAAAGAGATGTACGTGGCTTCTACTCTTCTGCCCTCTTCTTTTTCTTTTTAACTCCACAGACTATTGCAACGCGTTATGTTTTATATGCGTCGCAATGTTGCCACTGGCTATAACCTGCCCTCAGATCGCACCAGGTCATTATGCCTCTGTATAAAATTTGCAAGTTGCGATTTACTACTGAACACACCCCCCACCGAAAACATCTTGATGGTTTTTCCTAACTAGGTATACGAATAAGATAACACAGAAATTATAACCTCATCTATAAAATATTTGAGATAACGCTGACACAAAATGGTCTCAACGAAAACATTATTAATACAAGTTAACTAATTTGTATAAAGTAGAGGACTTAGTTTATTAACTGGTCTCTGTAAAGTACTCTTTTGAGTGTGAAGCTTTACACAACGAACAATCCCATCTGGACCGAGGTGAAAAGCCTCTATTCTACCCAAAGGCCAATTGCACGTGCGGCGGTACGTTATCAGTTTTTATGATTACGCGATCACCTACTTTAATGTTTGATCTATCCAATGCCACTTTACTTTCTGTTGCAGCATATTTAAATATTCATGATTTCATCGACGCCAAAACATTTGTGAATATTTTTGAATATACTGCCAACGGGACAACCGATGCATCGTTATATCTTCTACATTATACTCAGGTGCCACTGTTAACCCTTTTCCAATTAGACAGTGTACCGCAGTCAAAACGTTAAACAATTCGGATTATCACTAGCTGGTAACCTTACAAAACCCTGTGGCGAATCCCTCGAACAAAAGCCTTTATATTTTTTTTATTTCGCAAACATCCGCGCTTGAAAATAAAATGATGTGTCTTACCTAGTATGAAGAGCACCTCCCGCCCTCCCTCAATTGCGTGCACTATCCCCATATATATGCACTTGAGGGAGGGCGGGAGGTGCTCTTCATACTACATAGGCTGCACTAAAAGTATCGGGAATAGAATATTTCCACTGCTCCTGTCATATTAAAATCTTTTTAATTAAAAAGTTCTTGGTTTTAAAAATCGAATACCATTTATTTATTTAAAGAAAGATTCTCGGTCTTGTCACAAAGTTTTGTCAAACTTGTTTAGTCGTTGAGAAAATGGAATTGACTCGAGAAAATTCAAGAGCGATGATTTATTATGACTTTCGAAGGGGTTTAACACAAAAACAGTGTGTTGACCGGATGATTTCTGCATTTGGAGATGAAGCCCCATCCAAAACCACAATTTATCGCTGGTTTGCTGAATTTCAACGTGGACGTGTCAAGCTCAGTGATGATCCCCGTCAAGGTCGTCCAAAAACTGCAGTCACCCAAGAAAACGTTGATGCTGTGCGTAAGCTGATTGAGGAAGATCGACATGTGACATACCGCGAAATTCAGGCAACTTTAGACATTGGCATAAGTCAAATACAAATAATCTTGCATGAACAATTAGGTGTAAAAAATTTGTTTTTCCGATGGATACCGCATTCGCTCTGTGAAGAGCAAAAAGCGGCTCGCTCGCTTGGTGCGTCAGAACTCTCGAAAGATTCCACGCAGGATCCTCAAATGCTGTATATAACATCGTATCAGGTGACGAATCCTGGATATACGCGTACGAACCCGAAACAAAAAACCAGTCACGAATTTGGGTGTTCGAAAATGAGTTAAAGCCAACAAAAATTGTACGTTCATGGAGTATTGCAAAAAAAATGGTGGCCACGTTTGTCTCCAAAACCGGCCATGTTACGACTATTCCTCTTGAGGGACAAAGAACGGTTAATGCAGAATGGTATGCTAGCATTTGTTTGCCACAGGTCGTTTCTGAACTCCGTAAAGAGAACTGCAACCGCCGCATCATCCTCCATCACGACAATGCGAGTTCTCACACCGCACACAGAACAAAAGAGTTTTTAGAGCAAGAAAACATAGAATTATTAGACCATCCGCCGTACAGCCCCGACCCAAGCCCTAATGATTTCTATACTTTCCCTAAAATAAAGAACAAATTGTGTGGACAGAGATTTTCATCACCTGAGGAAGCTGTGGACGCCTACAAAACGGCCATTTTGGAGACCCCAACTTCCGAATGGAATGGTTGCTTCAATGATTGGTTCCATCGTATGGAAAAATGTGTCAAATTTCGCGGAGAATACTTCGAAAAGCAATAAATACATTTTTAAATAGTAATGTTGTGTCACTTCCTTGATTCCCGAAATTTTCCGTGCCGCCCTCGTAGGTAAGACACATCATTTTATTTTAAAGCGCGGATGTTTGCGAAGTAAATTTTTTTAAAGCTTTTATATAATGGATTTCCGCAAATTAACGCCTGATTCTATTAATTAAATCCCTCGAACGTCAAACTTTTTTCTCTCACGGCTCGCGCTAATAGGTACTTGGCGATTCCGAGATCCCAGAACCCACTTATGTGGTGCTCTAGAGGGATTAAATCTGCATTTAATTTGTTGTTTTGACCAACCCTCTAATATGTTGTTTTTTTGATTGAGCATATACATTTGTACTGCGGTTAAATGCTTACTAGCCGCGATGAAATTAGTTCTCCAATCCGAATAAGGCTGCTTTACCACCAGAGATGTGCGAGAATGCGTAGCGAGGGATGTGTTTGTTAAGAACCAATAGAATCATAATGATTTCTTATATTTACGCAAACACTACACATTGAATAAAACTATTTTTTTTACGGATTCTATCGCGTTTAATTAAGTTATTTTATATTCCCGACGTTTCGGTAGGAAACGTCGGGAATATAAAATAACTTAATTCAACGCGATAGAATCAGTAAAAAAAAATAGTTTTATTCAACCAATAGAATCACTTCATTTACCTGGCCTCGCTCAGCGCAGATCTGGTGGAAGCGGCTCAGCGGAGCGAGGTTTTAGTATATACAAAACAATGGAAGGATGTGTGCGAGGGATGTTTTGCGAGGAGTTCTTTTGTAAAGAACGGATTACAGAGTTCCACCCCTACATGCATGCTCAAAAACCTTATTAGGTATCAATCGGGCTGCTGGTAAAGGAGCCATCTCAGGCTGTAAAAGCACTGGATTGTGTTTAAAACAAGTTCTGCATTTGGAGAAAACTGTCCGAGTAATGCGACGGGATGATAAAATCTAAAAATGTTGATTAATAATGTTTTGTAAAGCTTCGGTCACACACAGCGAATATTCACTGCGAATATTACTCGAAGCGACAATTCGCTGCCTGCCTGTCACACACAGTCAGTACACGAGAATTATCAATAATATGTATCTTTTATATTCTTAAATTTTCTTTTCAATTGCTCTGGGGTTGCTATTTCGAATCCCAACTCAATTACTTCGTCAAACAATGAAGGCGTCTGCCATTGTGTTTTTTTAATTACTGTTATTTGTGTCAAACAGCTCCCCATTTTTTCTATACACACCCAAAAAACAAATTATATCGTAATTTCCCTATCTTAGAGAATTGTTTATCGGTTAACTTATTTGACTGACCTACACACACATATCATGCAGCAATGAAACGACCTATGCACAGCGGATTTAACTCGCGGCAAATGAATCTAATCGCAGCGCATAGCATGTCACACATAGCGAATTCTCGGTGCGAGTGCCTAATCGCAGCAAGTATTCGCTATGTGTGACCGAGTCTTAAGGTGCGTGGGCCTACGGGTAAATATTTTTGCTGTAAATATTGAATAAGTAATAGCCTAAATATACTATTTTTAGGTAATAAACTGGGATGTTTCGCGTTATAGGTAAGGTAACGCTGAATAATTTATTCGACCGTCCCCCTCCCCACACCCTGAGGATCCGCGCTAGTCAATAAAGGGACATAATTTTTTTAACAACGCCACGTACTTTGTGCCCTTTGACAAACAATTTAATTCATTTGCAAAGTATGCACACATCCCAGATGCGTTACAATATTCGTACCGCGGATAGTCTCATCAAGCAATATTGTACCTGCAGGGCATTGTAGGCTCTCTGCGTATACTTATCCCATCGAATACACGTGTAAAATGACTGTCAAAAGGCATTCAACTATCTTATCTTCTTTTGTACAGCGTGCAAATTGCGGCACAGCATGTTGTAACGAACCGCTAAAGCCCTTCTTCATCTTTCTATATCCGCGTCATCAGTAAGATTCTCAGTTAATACGTAACGAAGATACCTGAACTGAAACACCCTATTTAACTTTACATTTCTCAACTTAGGTGAAATCGTTTTAATTTTTGATCCAGCGTGGAACACCAATAATTTACTTTTTAACATTATAAATGATACCGTGAGTGAGCATAGTATGACAAACATTCAGTAATCTCTCCAGTGTTGCCAAATTCAATGATCAACTGAATAATATAGAAGTCTAGTAGTAATAAAAGGAAGAGCGCTGGTGAAGTCAGACCACCGTCTCACCCCGCATTTCAACCTGTACTCGTCGGAGAGTCCTGATCTGACCTGATTTAATTGGTAACCAGTATATAAACATTTCGATCACCTCACTTGATAAAATCATGTCACACAACTTCCACAGAATATCATAATTAATCAGGAAAAATGCCTTTGAGAGATCAAAAAAGCAGCAT